GGGCAGCCGTTTAACGTTTAATTCACTGAAGAATAGCTGGTTTCTATATAGACATAATACGAAATGCATCGTTGATAATTAGGCCTATATTTGGGGTAAAAAGTTCATGTATATTATTTTGTATTTGTATTATGAATCCCAATATAGTGAATTCATGCCACTAAAACCATGCAGGCATGTTATATTGTTGTTGCATTTGTGACGTCATAGATTCACAATTAAAATTATTTCTTGAGATCTACCGTATATGTTTATTTGATGTGTTTGGAACAGCGGCCCTTAAGCTTTTGTGACAAAGTCTAACTCACATATATGACAATAAGGTATATCAACTTACTGTTCCACCCCACAATCTTGAGGTCTGAGTGTGTTTTCGTTACAAAAGTTATTGAGTAATTTAACCACTGAATCTTTAAACAGCACATTAGCCTCCACGGTGTACTAAACAAATGCGAGAACGGAAGAAGTTTATTATGTAAACTTTGTGTTTTAGTGTTGGTTGAATTATTTAAGCACTGGGAGCTGCTATTTTCGGGGTAAATATCAAGCTTTTGTTGGCATCTCACTCGATTCAATAAGTGTTGAAGGGTCTTGTTCATGGAAATTATGGAGTGTGAATTTATAGACATTTTTAGACCTAACCAGGATCAGCTCCCAAAAAGGCAACTATATATAGGTTCCTGGCACAAAACGACCTGCGGCCGTGCGATTACGGTGCAGGAAATAGCAGATTCGATTCCTGCCAGGGACCAATAGTTGCATTATTCGCAGCTATTCCAGGTTAGGTCAGCAAATGTATATAATGTATATAAATTTCCACGCGATAATTTCCAACTTGATCCTTCAACTCTTATTGGAGAAAGGGTTTTATGGAAAGTGAGGGGTATTAATTTGGTCAAAAAGTTTTACGAGATCAGGCCTTTTATATATTTAGACTTTCAGGACTTATTCTGTTCTTCGAGACCCTTTTTAGATATTGTTGAATCTATAGTTAGATGCCAACAAAATCTTCAAATTTACCCATAACCTAACCATGGCAATACCCTATAATTATACATACATGAACGTTTGGTTAGAAATCGATAACTGGCCTCTGTAGCTCAGTTAGTTAGAGCGCTAGGCCGTAATCGCTACGCCGCAGGTTGGATTTCTGGCAGGAACCCAGCATTCTTCACGGCTGTTTCTGCTTAGGTCTAATAAATGTATATACATTTCCACTCGATATTTTCCGTCAACAAGATCCTTTAACTTTTATTGGAGAAAGGGTTTTATGGAAAGTGAGGGGTATCGATTTAGCCAAAAAAGTTTAACGAGATCAGAATAAATATGATGGCAATTTTATTCAAACACAGAAAATTACGTAGTAGTTATTGTACTATCACCATTTTTTGGTGTTGAACAAGCATTTTTAATGTGTGAATGGAAAAACGAAAGGGGAAAGTAATATAGATGAATTTGTTTTTCTTTGTCGCGTGAAGGAAACTTTATAGAGACGGTGGCTTAATACATTTCTTCTTCCCAGACTAGGTGGCCCATAAGTTACTTAGAGATTAAATTAATACAGGACTTGACGTGCTTATATACGTTCCATTCTAACATGATAAAAATCTATAAGCAAAATGTATTAGCAGCTTACTAATTTTAGATCAGTGTTTGAATTTGAAATAAACCAATTATATGTTATTCTCGGGAAAATTGAAGAAACAAACAACTATATATCTTCCGTATATTAAACATGCAATGAAGATTGACGTATATGTGGATTTTGAAAAAACATTTATAAACTCACGTTTACTTCCTGAAAGTTAGCCAACGTTATTTGAATGGCATTATCTGTTTGTTCTTGGGTAGCACTTGGTGCTGCTGGAGCTAAATCAGCCACAATACTTTCGTCTTCCCTAACTAAAAAATGAGAAAGAATTTCCCTTTTAGTTCGTAGGTAACCATCTCAAACTCATTAATAATTCATGAGTAAATTACCCAACCATATTGCTTTAATTGATTGATAAGTATCTATTAAAGCTTAAATTTCGCTTGCATAGTTACATTCATAGTGTCGGAAGAAGTTGGGCAAATTATGAAGTCGGGCAAATTATGAACGTAAGTCGGGCAAAAATTGGGGAGAAAACTTTAAAAAGAGACTCCATGTAATATAGTAGCTGAAATTACACGAATTATGTAAAATTAACAAGGAATTTTAACAGATTAGGATTTTTCTTGGCTTCACCTCAGATTTGATCAAATTGCCCGGACTTGAAATCTATGCTATAACCATACATACTTTGGGCGTGCATGGAAGCGGATATTTTTTACTAGCATTCAATATTTACTATATTTCTATCTGCATTAGTGACAATATTCGCTACAAATTATTATTAAGTAAATTCATAATCGCTGAAAAATGTGAGTAAAGTAACAGTGACTAATAATTTTCAGTATTGCTCAAATTCATAAGCAAAATTTACTCAATCTTCAGATTAAAGATTCACTTGCATGACAAAAATAAAAATGAGTGAATTTACCACATAAATATGAGTGATTTTACTCATTTTTAGTCATGATATAGGTGTATTTATTTATAGTCTACTCAAGCTTTTATTAGCTCAAAATACTCATTGTTTTTTTGCAGTGTTCCCGGCACGAATATTTATGTTTCCATCCGAAATATTAATATTCTTTCCTCAAATATTCATATTCGGACTACTATAGAACTCACTAGTCAACACCCACAAAAATCTTGAAAAATACAGACATGTCCTGCTGTTGATTTTTTCCTGTACTTACAAATACACGTTCCATTAACTCTGACCATGTTCAACCTCTTAGAACATGCACATCTGTAACTTCCTGGAATGTTTTCACATTCCTCTCCTACTCCATTACAAACAAAGTCACCAGTAAGACACTCATTTATATCTGAAGGTATAAAAGAAATTTTTTAAATATATATACAATGGGTTTCTGGGAGTGGTGATGACAGACACAAACATGGAACACCGCATGCGTCACCATTACTGAAATCTGTAATGCGAACGTGATGTCAAGTGTTCCAAAGGAGCGACTTCGATGCTTTGCCTTTCCTATGAAAATTCAAGCTGAATAATGAACGTGACAACCTAAACACTAGAAATAATTATAGTCTACATGTGCAAGAAGTAGTCAATTAAATCGTGTGCAGATGCTTAACTATTCGATAGTTTTCTTAACTTTTGTGCTTAAGTTTGGTGTTCACACGGCTCCCAGTCTTAAACGATAATTTTTATGTAATTTTTTTTATTTTAATGTACAGTATAAACTACCCGTCTAGTGTATTTTTTTGTTTCAATTAACTTAAATAATTAAATAGCCATGTTTTTGTTTACAATTTGGCATTTAAATTCCTCGCCATCTTTTTTGTGCCCATGCGCAGACGTTTTTCCGCGGTGTTCAAACATGGGGAATGGGAAAAGCCATAAACTGTTATAATATCTATAGCGATATCCCCATTAAAGTGCTTTTTAAACCCTTTATATACAACGGTTGAAAAAATTACTAGCCTGAGGATAGCGATATTAGCCTTCGCCAAACTGGATCCAGATTGGTAATTGGACGTTCAAGTAATAAGAAATAGGAAGTGGTTATAACTAAACCGCGAAGATCATGATGTTACCTCATTGAAACTAAACGTAATTTGGTAGCATGTAGTTTTCGATGTTATTTTTCTTTCAAATCTTCAGATACTCAAAAGCGTATTTAGACAACCAACATGCATGTGGTGGATTATTGAATCTTCAGATACTTTTGTATTACTCAAGTGACTTTATTTTTTTGTTGCGTTACATGCACTGTAAAGAAATACTAGCAAAATAATAGCAAAATGAAGTTAATCTTTCATTTGGAAACTCTTCTGTATAACTTGAATAACACAATTTTTGTGTTACATGTCCGCTTCAGTTATTATGGCATAATATGAAAGAATATTATTGCATACAAACCTGTACAAGTAGATGGACTTGTGAATGAATATCCTTCCAAACATGAGCAAGTGTAACTGCCTGCTGTGTTAGTACATGTTTGATCACAGAGATTGTCTTGTGTACTTTGACACTCATTTATGTCTAAGAAGCGAAACGGGATAATTGAACATTACTCAGTGAACGTACTGTACATATTCTGAACAATGCAATTATATATTCAGTCGTCTAAAACCTGTGATATTTATTATGGAAGCAAGGGCTAAATAAAAATAAATTTTAAAATAATAATTATAAAATAAGAAACAACAAATAAATAAAAATAATCTAAAAAATAATAAAAATAGTAAATTAAAAATATCAAATATAAGAAAATAATTAAAATAATGAATTAAAAATAATTAAAAATGATTTTAAAAAGATAAAAAATAAAAAGTACAAGAAAGTAAGGTTTTCAAATATAACATAGTAGGCTTCAACTCTTTAGTGGATTTCTATATATACTTTCGAGGGTTGGTATGTGGTATGCAATAAACTAACCATCGCACGACTTCATATCTGATTCTCGAAGGCTATATCCAATATTGCAGGCACATTTTTCTTGTCCGACTTGAATAGGATCGATGTAACATATCTGATCACAGTCATTATTGGCGTCACACTGGACTTTCGCTGAAAATAAAGTTATTAATTTATTTCCGGATTTTTGAAAAACAAATATTAAAAACTCATTAGTAATTTATGAGGAGAAGACAACGGAAGTCACTGCTGTGTCGATGGTTTTATAAGTGATAAAAAATCCTGTTCATTTACATAAACTTTAGCTTTGATTTTCATACCTCGACGACGTTTATTTTTGAAATTTCGTCGCCAATGAACTAATCAAATGGTCGTGAAGTTATTTAAGAGACTCACTTTCCGTGTTTTATCAGGCATATTATATCTGATAAACACTCCTGCTCGTATTTTAAATTAACACTCCTTTGTATATCTTGTTGGCCATTTTGTTTGCGTGATCCCTACGTTGGTTTATGTACGACTAATGTTAATCAGCAAAGTGAGAATTCCCTTGGTAATTGTCCTGACAATGCTGGGATTAGCATTCAACCTAACCACGGCATTTACCATAATGATCAAATCTGTACATATTAAATATTTTTTTGCAAAATGAAATCATAGAAAAAATTTTAGTATTAATTCATTGATTTTTTATATTGCCTACATTAGCACTGGCCCGCCAGCCATTGCTTTACGTAGAGTAGACTATTTCGCAGAAATATTGTCTAAAAAACCTATAAATAAGGTTCAATTTTGTGTGTAAATGAAATAGGTTCATTAGTCGTGTCAGATGATATGGAGCAGAAATCAAAATCGTTTGAATATTTACCTGTGCAGGTTGTGGGGTTATCAGAATTGATTAAAAATCCGATCCTGCAGTAACATTCATATGAGCCGACTGTATTATTGCACAGCTGACTACAGTTATTCGGTTTTGAGCACTCGTCAATATCTGTAGGTTTAAAAAATATACAAAATATTTATTGCATAGCAGATAAAATATATATGTTTAATTATTACATAATTAAATGAAAACATTGTTATGTTTAAGTTTTGCCGCCAAAGCCTTGAAACATACCAAAAACAAAATATAAAACTAACGTAATCCGAAAGACGAAACATTGAAAAAGATGAATAACCTGATATCTGAGGCATATAACTTAAAAACATGA